ACCACGATCATCATCCTTCGCTCGGCCCATGACACACCCTCCCGTGTGGTCTCCCTGTATTTACTTGTGCCATTGAGAACTTTTAAAACTGCAAATTTGATCATGTCATTCAATCTTGATCTCTCTCAATAACAAACCCCAGTGATTCACTTTGGCTAATCAAATGTGCTAGAAGTAGTCATATGCCGGTTCTCATTCTCTCTCTCTCTCTTTCACACACACACACACACACACACACACACACACACACACTTCTTTTAATAATTCTTAGGACAAAGTCAGAAACCTCGAGCAGAAATAATATTTAGTACAGATGAAACTTACTGGATTTCATTAACCAATGTCACCACAAAAAAATAAATAAATAAATTTTAAAAGGAATAAACAAATAAATAAATATAATGGAATATTTTCTTAAAAAAAAAAAAAAAAAGAAGTAATATTTAGAACCATGAGAGTGGAAGAGCTCCACCCACAGCCAGGAAGTCTGTACCGAGGAGGTGACATTTGCAATGCCCCTGAAAGAACAAATAGGCATTTGTTGGATGAAAATGGCTAGGGGATTACTATCAGAGGAAACAGCATATACAAAGGCAGAGTTGTAAATGAGCACGAGAGGTGACAAGAGATTCATCTTGTGTAACCGAAGCATTATTTATGGTAATGAAAACAATAGAAATAAGTCATTGCTAGTTTTATGGAACACTGGTACTTTACACACTATCTTAGGTTAGATTCCCTTGAAGTAGAGCCTGAGATATAGAGTCCCACGAGAATGACTTATTGAGAAGTGACTCAGGGGATGGGAAGGGAGGGGAGCAGCACAGGGCAGGGGAAGGAGCTGAGCGAGGATGTGGTCTCAGCTGGAGTCAGCTGGAGCCCCACGGGGAGGTACGGAGTTTGGTCCCGCCTAGAGACAAGGGGCCTGGCCCTCTAGACCATCCTCCACCACCACCTCAGCCCCTTCATGGTTCCCATTTGGCAGAGGCCAATTCTCTGGAGAAAAGGCAGCTGTGAATAGTTAGCAGTAATAGTGCATGAGGCAACAGCTGGATGATGAGTGCCCTGGAGGCACCAACAGAATCCACAATACACATCTCATGTACCTCTCACGACACCCTGGGGACAGGCCTTACTCTTCCCATTCCACAGGAAGCTGAAATAACTTGCATAAGAGCATCCGGTTGGGATGTGGAAGAGCTGGAATTTGAATCCAGGTCTGCTGAGACCCTAGGACAGCTCCCTTATCCAGGAAGAGGGAGATGCTTCCCAGGTCACATAACCAGGAAATATCAACCCCTGTAACTCTTGGGCCGTGTCTTCTACCAACAAGGGAAGAGCTGATGTCTACCAAGCCCTCCACCCCCAGCAGCTGCAGATGGGCCTGAAGCCACGCCTGAGACCTGCATCTGTCTCAGACCACCCAGGTGTCTCGTACAAAAGAAACACAAGGTCCAGGGAGGGTGAAAAAGTGATAATATGTGAAAGCTAAGGCAGTTATGCAGGAATTTTGTTAGAGACTTGCAAAAAGCAATCAACAGAAGATGCATTTGCAAAAGAAACTTCAAGCCCAGAAGAGCTGCTTTGAAAGTTTTTCAAAGGAGACACAGTTGGCTGATCTATATCCTGTAGGAAACTGTCTTAGCTGCAGTTTCTAAATAAAGAAGGTGGTGTTTCAGGAGGTTACATTAAAGAGCAGGTTTTCAACATGATGCACATGGATGTTCTAGAAGCAAATGTCTTCCAGAAATGGCTTCCGGCCGCAGCTTTGCAAATAATAGGTGCCCAATAAACATTTGTTGAATGGGTGAGCCTTGTATTTAACTGTATTTATAAAATACACTTTATACCATTTAGAGTGTTTATCCTTTGAATCTTCTATTGGCTATGAGACCTTCATTTTGTCCATCTGTTTATGTCAATCCTTCAGTAATTGGGACAATACAAATCCTGCAGCGGATGAGGCAACACGCCATGATAGGGTGTTCATGTGTGTATGTGTGTATGTGAGTTCAAGCAAGCATTCCAGGGGAAAGACTGAAAGAAAACATTCAGAACTTTTGCCGTTAAGAACTAGAGGCCTGTGGAGCCCCACTAAGCCAGTGGGAGCTGCAGGTCCCAGAAGAATCTAAGATATTCTTCAGTAAAATCAGCGTGAACAACATCCCACATGTTTACCATATGTACTAGTTTGTTAAAGGACCACAATGCTTTGCAGCCTCTCCCATCAACAGGTGGAGTCGATTCTATTTCCCCATTCCTTGAATCTAGACTGGCCCTGTGACTTGCTTTGACCAATAGTATATTCTGGAAATAATCATATGCCAGTTCTAAGCCCAGACCTCAAGAAACCTTATAGCTCCTGCTCTTGCTGCTCTGGGAACCCCTCTCTCACTGTGTGAACCTCAGGCTAGCCTGCTGAAGAACAAGAAACCATCTAGAGCACAAGTGAGTCCCCCAACCCAATCAGTCCACAGCTGACCTGGCAGCTTCCTGCTGCCACTTAAATGATCCTAGTCATGACCAGAATAGCCACCAGCTAAACCCAACCAACTATTAACCCATGGAATTATGCACTAGATAAATATTTGTTGTTTTAAGATACCAAGTTTTGGAGTGCTTGTTATGCAGCAAAAGCTAACTGATACACTATAAGAAGTCTAGATTGTAATTGCTAAATCTGCCCATATCAAGCTCGGCTCATGCTACCAGGTGGACTTAGTCAATCTCAAGGAATCGCGGTGTCTTCTTTATAAAGTTCTAAGTGAGGGAGCCTCTCTGAGTGATGGCACAAGAGACTTGGAAGGTCCCTTGGGGAGTCCAACCACCTCATTCCGCTGTTAGGGAAACTGAAGTCAGAGAAGAGAGTAGCCTCATTCACTCATTACACAAACATTTCCTGAGTGCCTTCTAGGTGCCAGGCTCTGTGCTGCATGGGGGTCACAACAGTGAAGAAGAGAGACCAGACCCTGCCCTCACGGAGGTCACAGTCTAGAGTGGAAATCAGATGTTAACCAAGTCATCACACCATTAAGCAGATGACCACAAACAATGACCGAGAAATGCCGTGAATTAAAGAGACATGGTGCCATGAGACAGAATCACAGGGAAGGGACCTAATTTGGATTTGCGGTTGCCAGGAACTGTCTGAGGAAGTGACATTTAGGCTGCAGCAAGTGGGTGACAGCCTTGAGGTGGGAATGGAGCTCTCCACAGACACGGCAAGGTAATGTGTAGAGCTTTGAGCCCCAGCTGTGCAGGCTCGAATCCCAGCTGTACTGCTCCCTGACTAGTCAATTAACATCCTCCACTTCAGTTGCTTCATGTGTAAAGTGGGGTTGACGATAACATCTACTTCTCAAGATTGTTATGAAGATCGGCTGAAATAACCAGTGAGAAAAGGGCTTTGCAAACTGTAAAGTGGTGGGTGAACAGTTGAGGTTGCTGTCAACAGGTTGCCCGGTACCTCCTCTCTAAAGGACTGTGCCCCCCTCTTCCAAGGCCTAGAGCAGACACAGAGTGCCACCGAGTCCCACTCCCCCTTCTTGGCGGAAGTGCAGTGCCAACACTCTCCATCAGGCTTTGAGGCACAGCCGACTCCCCCATGTGATGGGTCTGTGAGCCAGGGCTCAGGGTGTTAAGAAAATTCAATTTAAATACTGTGAAAGGGCTCAGATGAGATGTTCATGGGTAAGCTCTGGTCTTTACCCCTGAAGCACATTTCCAGGCTGATTATGGACAATTAAATGACTTCAGTGGTCTCTTCCAAAATGAGCGTTTCCAGGACCTGGAGTCCTGCCCACCAGTATCTCGCAGGTTGGCACGCATCAGTGCAATATTAAGGCGGCTTTGCAGCAGGTTAGAGAAGGGAAATGCAATGGCAGCCCCGCCATGAACACCCCTGTGCGTGTGTGTGTGTGGAGTGGGGCAGGGCAGGGGTGTGCAGCGTCCTGCAGTAGAGTCCCACACCTGTAGCTGGGACTACCGTATCTTCCCTCACTGGCAGTGCTCCCTGAGGACCGTGTCTTACTCATTATGCCCCCATATAGTAGGACACACAAATGTTTGTGAAATGATAGGCTACTGTTTCCCCAGCTAGAAAATGTAGGCCCGGCCACCCAGCTTGGATTGTCACACCCATCACGACTGCCTAGGCAGAGGGTGGAGGTCAGCTCCACGGACAGGCCGCCCCCAGCTTTCCAGGTTTCTCGGCAGCTATGGGACTCCTTGCCTTTCCATCCAGCACCCTGAGCTGCTGCCACCCTGCGGGCACCGCTGCCACCCTCCAGGTTGCCACAGCCTTCAGTCAGGGCCACCCGGGCCTCCCAGCCTACAATGAGAACTCTCTCTGGCATCAGAGTCTATAGTGAGGATGCTCCCAGCTGAATGAAACCTTAATTTTTTGGAGACCAGGCTCTCAGTGGAAAATCAGATTCCCACTCATGTGGACTCCCAGTGGGGATGGGGACAGCCTTGCCCGGGATGACTCAGACCCCTCCACCACCGGGGAGGACTGCACAGGAAGCCTCTGCTGTCATCTCTTTGCACCAAGTCCACCACCCTCCCCAGTAGCATTAGACAACTCCAGATGGGCAGGGGGACCCTGTGTGACTGCACGGGAGTGTGCGCCTCCACACCAATGTACGTCCCCAGGGTGCTGTATGGTGGCCGGAGGCTGGCGCCCCAGGGAGCGTATGACATCTCTACTCACTTTCGCTGAAAATGTCCCCCCAGCTCATGGGGAACATGGGCAACACATTTTGAGTTTTATCAAGTTTTTATTGATGCCCATTTTAAGCCAACAGTAGCCAGGCCTGTACCGAGAACACCGTAGTATTAGTTTGTCCCTTTTACGGGGACTCAACTGATAGGCTTGATCATTCTGAGAGAGGACAGTAGTAGGATGTCACCCCCACTCGGCATCCCTCCTCACTCCAGGAGCAGCCTGGGTCCAGCCGGCCCAAGGCGAGACCCCCACTCCGAAGGGATGGGGCACTTACCTGGCTGGTTGATAGAAGCTCTGGGTTTCCGTCACTCATCCCCACGTAGGCACTGTCACCATCAAACTGGAACAGAAAGACAGAGAAGCAGCTCTGAGTAAAATGTTCTCAAGAAGACCCTGGGAGAAGGAGCCAGAGGAGGCCGGGGGACTGAATGCGCTGAGGGGGAAGGAGAAGCAAAGATGGAGCCCAGGATGCCCAGGCTCCCATTGCAGCAGGGGCTCTGTGCTCCCTGAGGGTCAGCGCCATCATCACACTTAGGAGGAAGAGAGGAGAACCTTTCTGCCCTTTACACCCTGTCCATAAATGGGCCAGGCTGCCTCGTCAGATACGGAGCTCCCCACCCCTGGAAGTATGCAAAGATCTCTCTCGGCCAAAATAACCTCGGACTCTTTTCAGCTAGAGCTGGAATTCCACATGATGGAGGGAGGCCAAGACCCCCAAGGCCTTGCAGTCATGACAGCCTGCCCGGATGTGTCCTACAGGCCTTACCATCCTGTGGTAGAAATCATGCACAGGAACTGCAGTCCTGTGTTCTGAGAAGCTGCCAATTCTGAATTCAGGAAGAGCTGCCCGCAAGAGGGAGCAGGTGTAATGAAGTGTGGCTGCCCTTTTCCCTGAAGGTGACCTTGAGCTGGTATCTGAACTTCTGAGGTTTCTCATCTGTTAAATGGGGATAATGACATGGTTCCCTCTCTACAAGATGTTGCACTGAAACAAGGAGTTCATTCAATTCCAGTTAGTTCCCTTCCTGTTCCCTTTGAGGCAGGTGTCTTGGCTGGCATTCCCTAGAAGCAGAGCCTGAGACAAGGATTTAAATGCATGTGGTTTTTGAGAAGTGCTCTTTAGGAATAACCTTACAGGGTGGGAGGGATGCAGGACAGGGCAGTGGAAGGAGCTAAGCAAGGATGTGGTCTCGGCTGGGGACTTGTTGGAGCCTGATCCCATGGGGAGCTCTGAGTATGAACCGTACCACAGAGTTAAATCCCAGCATGAAGCGAGGGGCAGGACTTCTGTAGCCCAGATCAGTCAGCCACTGGGAGACAGGGGGAGGCATAACCTGAGCATGGTGGCCCCTTTTGATCAAGGACTGAGAATTGTGCTCCTGAGAATTGTGCCAGCTGTGACCCACGTGTAGCCAGTGCTCATAGCAGATGGGAGATGGCCGTGCTGGCTAGTAAAAAGATCTGGGTGGAGTACCAACGGCAGCTGGCTATTTTAATTGAAAATTTTTATTTTTTATTAGGTTATATGCACATGGTTCAAAATTCCCAAAGTACAAAAAGCAACAGAGTGAGAAATCTCTTCCCACCCACCTCCTAGCCATCCATTACCCCTCTCCAGAGCCAGAGGCAACCACTGAGTTTACCAGCTTCTTTTACATCCTCTCAGAGATGGTCTGAATATATACATTTTATAGTCATTTCTTTCACATAAATGACAGCATTCTATACATACCATTTTGCATCTTATTTTCCTCCTAGCACCACATCTGCGAAAGTCTTTTATATCAGAACATAATTCTGTCTTCCGGTACCTCGTATTCCACAGGATGAATGAAACATATATATTTAACTAGTCGAGCACATGAGCAATTGACTTGTTCCTAGTCTTTTACTAGTCCAGCATTGCTCCCATGAATAGATTTGTACATCCATCATTTCGCAGGGGTGTGAATTTACTGTAGGATTAGTTTGTATGATCGCTGAGTCCAGTTGTGTGTGCATTTGCAACTTTGATAGACATTGCCGAGCGGCTCTCATGGAGGCTGTAAAAAGCCACACTCCCACGATCAGGCACAAGATGTCAGTTCATCTCTCAGAGAGGCTTCACTCAGAGAGGCTTTCCTCATCAACTGGCTCAGAGGCCAGCCTCCCACCTCTGTGGACTATGAGAGCTCACCCCTGCCACCACCACTCCCCACTCTCCGCTCTACCTTGTTCTTTGTTCCATAGGCTCTTTACCTTCTAGCATCTATATAATTTACCAAGTTCTTTGCCTACATTTGGATTTCCTCTGCTAAAATGGAGACTCCTAAACACCTAGAATAGTGCCTGGCATAGACAAGATACTCAGTAAATGCTTGTGGGTGGATGGATGGATGGATGGATGGATGGAACCACCACTGCACCAGTCCCTGTCTTTTACCAAGCCAGTCTTCCCATCGAAGCAGTGGAATTGGTGGTTTTATCCAACTGCCTGATCAGACCAGGGAAGGGTAGAATCCTTCAGTGACTGCTGAATTAGCAAAAGTAAAGGCCAGGCATAGGATCTGGGTACTGAACCCCAATGTAGGGCTCCAACCACCACATTGCACCCTGAGCTCATGCTTCAAGGCCCTGTTCAAAGATCACCTCCTCCAAGAAGCCTGCCATGCTGTCCCATCCTCTGGCTGTCCCTCTTAACAAATAGATTGTCTCCACATCTGTCTTCTACCCTGTGTGGGGCAACATGGAGGCTGGACAGTGCCCTGGTCATTTCCAAATCTCTCAGTGCCTGGCACAGGCTGGTATCAGGAATAGGATTATGAGTTGGGCAGGGCAAGGAACTTTCAAGAATAGCTCCTGGGTACTATTCGATGTGTCACCATGGCCATGTATTATTTGGATAAAAAGAAAACTTTAAAAAAAAAAACACACATAATTTATAAGTATGTTCTAAAGAAAAAAAAGATAGGAAATAGAGGGGGCTAAGTTTAACCAGGTATTTGTAACGTTTGATAAAGCGACAGTCATCAAACAATATAGTATAGGCTAAAAATATAAGAATATATATCAAAGGAGGAGAGGACAAGATGTCCCCAAAAGGACTGTGCCACAGCCCATTTATTAAACACTGACTAGAACGGAGCCACCTCAAAAGGAGGAGCCTTGTCTGCTGTCTCCCCCAATGCACAGAGCAGGCACTCAACGGATATCTGGTGAATGAGTGAATACACCTGGCACCGAGCAAAATGCTTTCCACAAAAGATCTCATTTAACCCTCACAAAACCCCTGTTTAAAACCAAAGAAACCGTTTGAGAGGACCGGCAGACATGCCTGAGGTGGTGCAGCTAGGGAGAAGCTGGACAGGTAGTTACAGAATGGTCTGTTTGCCTCTCGGGCTTGGTCCCTCCCACCCGGCTTTACGCACCTCGATGGCAGGGATGGGGCTTTGCTGCACCACGCCCTGTACAATCGATACTTAGCCCGGCACAAACAGATGTTCGACGAGGATGTGTTAGTGGTTCGGGGCAGGAGGACTCATCCACAGTGAGCAGTGGACAATGGCACTGGGGATGCGAGGAAAGGAGACCCTGGATCTTGATGTCTGTGTGCTGGGGGTGGGAATGGGGTTGGGCAGTGGGTCCTCCTGAAGTCACCAGAGCCTGCCTCGAGTGAGCTTGAAATTCATTGATTTGTTTAGTCAACCAAGAAAGAGCTGCCACAAGCTGGGGTAAAGCTTGCTTCCTGCTTTCAAGGAGGCCCTAAGACGTTGGTGGCAGCTCTTGAGGCAGGGCCTGGGTCTGCCTCCATTTGGCTATCCCTGGGGGCCTGGCCTGGGCCCTGGGAGCACACTGGGCTGAGGACCTGGCTCCTGAGCAGCCATGAACAAGGGGCCCTGAAGTGGTGGTGCGACCTGTTTCCTGTCCACCTCTGCCCAGGATTCCACTATGTCAGAGATCTTGGAGGGGGAAAGCAGGGAGGGAGGGGACCTGAGGGCTCCCAGACTTCCCCTGGCTTGGCCTCCAGTCTGTGGTACTAAGGCCTGGAGCTTTCCCCTCCGCCCTCCACTTGGGGGACCCTTTCTAGAGGAAAGAACATACCCAACGGGAGATGTCACTAAGCCAGCTTCTGTGCTCAGGCACAGCAGGACCACCTCCTCCTCAATGTGCACAAACAAGATCAAAACACCCACATCTATACCCACTGCATAGCAAATGCTGAGTGTGTATGTGACCCCAAAAGTATACGGCATATGCAGTGTGCCCAAGCATGGTGACAACTTAAGCACCACAAACCAATGGGGGCCGATGATCACACACAACACAGTGCTCAAGGCAGCACCTAGTCACACATGTACCACATCCATGGGTACCACAGACCAACAGGAACAGATGGGTCCACAGCACAAGGATGAGTGTGCACATATCACAGACTCTTTACAGGGCTGAGTACACAATACCCACAGCACGCACACACAGAAAGGAGGGGAGGTCCGATGTGTATAAATACACTACCTGCAACCGTATAAACGTAACGCATGTAAATGCACACACAAACATATGTGGCGTGAGCATGCACAGACATACAAAGCGAAGATGCACATGAACTTAAATTCTGCGCATAGTTCACCATTTATCAGTCCCTCGGTCAAAAATCCTCTTTCCACACCACACAACCTTTCATATGCTTTAAAATATGAAGGAAAAAAAAAATGCAGGGGGAAACAACGGCCTAAGAATTTCCATGAAACGCCAGAACGTCCTCTTACCACCGACTGGAATAGATTAATTTTCCCCATTTCATATTCTAATTATAATTCCTTTTCCCATCACCATCTTCAGTCCTCATTACAGCTGGAAGATTGTTCTGCAAAAGCCAGGCCTTCATCTTCTCTTCCCAAGAGTTTTGTCATGGAAATGAGTTTTGGAATCTGAAAGAACCCACATTTTTGCAAATACCGAATGTGTGGGGATAACCCTTTCATGACGGCCACCGGGGACTCAGTTCACAGAGGCTTCTAAAAGGGCTGTCTCTCCTCACACAGTGTGGTCCCCTTGGCGAGAGGGGCTCCTGGGCCGCTATTCCAACAGCCTCCTCCCCAAGCTAGACCCTTTATTTTTTCAATATTTAAGGGAACTTAGCAAATAGGCAGCCAAGGTGAAAGATGAGAAGCCCTGATCTTAAGTGAGGCAGATAATGCTGGCTCCATCTGTGCCACCTCAGGAAAGCTCCTGAACTGCTTGAAGCCTCAGTTTCCTCATTCTTATGACCCACGGAGTCACTGATTCAAAAAAAGTGTAAATTAAATAACTGTGGAATGGACAAATGTGATAAGTGGGAGGATGAATAGATGGAAGGAGGGAATAAAGGATGGGATGGGTTGGATGGATGGATGGATGATGGATGGTATAAATCAGCACTGTCAAATAGAAATATAATGCAAGCCACTTACGTAATTTAAAATTTTATAGTAGCCACCATTAAAAAAATAAATATAAACAGGTATAATTAATTTTTAATGACTTTTTAAATTTAATCCAATATATTCACAGTATTATGATTTCAACATGTAATCAGTAGAAAAATTATGAATGAGATGATTTACATTTTTTGGTAATGTCTGAGAAATCTTTAAGGAAACTTAGCAAATAATCAGCCAAAAGTCACATGTTGCTGGTGCTTAACATAATGAATAGAGCAGAGAATAGTTGGAATGGTAAGATGAGTGATGTATGGTGGGTAGGTATACGGGTTGGGATGGAGGGATGGGGAGTCGGGTGGGAGGGTAAGATGAATGGTCTGGGGAATGAATGGGCCAGTAGGTGGATAAACAGGTGACACCACGGCTGGATCAGAAAGTGGGATGGGTGGGTGGAATGGATAAATGTGTGGGCAGAAGGGTGGGTGGGATGTGTGGATTGGATGGTTGGGATGGGAGGGAGTAATGGATGGATGGATGAGATGGGATGGCTAGGTAAGTATGAAGAGATAGGTGGATGGGAGGATGATTGGGATAGTGGGTAAGATAAACAAAGATGGTTAGGATGGGTGTGTGGAGTCCATGGATAGATGTCTGGGTGGATGAGCTGCCTGAGTAAATGGAAAGTATTGAATGGGTGGATGCAATGGATAGGTAGGTGGATAAGTGGGTCTGGTATTTCCTTCTCACTCTATTTACGGTTTCCCTGGACAATGTCATAACTTCTCAGGGTTGCAACATGTCACTGACTTTCAAATGCTCATCTTTAGCTGAGTCACCTCCAGATTCCAATGTACAATTTCCCCCTGGACATCTCCCCCATTTGGTCCATGAGCACCTCAAATACAACA